GGTGGACGCGGCGGCAGAGGTGGCGTGGAGGACCTTGGCCGCCTTGGCTTGTCGTACGTGTCCTCTTCTTGGAACACGGAAGAAGCCCGGCGAGAAGTCGACCCAGAGCTGCTCGAGAAGTCGGGCGACACGGGGGTGCCAGACGAGCGGCGCCGGGGTTGGTAATCTACTTCTACACCCAAGCGCTCGGCTAAAGCTGAAGGAGCCAACTTGGCTGCAAAAGCTGCTGGAGAAGGAAAGGCGAGGGCAAAGGGAGAAGGGAACAAAGGCGAGGTTTTGGCTCGAGGTGCATGGGTTGTGGTAGTCTGGTGTATCTTTGCATCAGCAGTCTCCTCCGACGAGCCGGCAGTGTTTTGCTCTACTGCCAAATGAGTTCCGAGAAGCATCCGCCGTCCCCATCCCAGACCGCCTTCGATGTTTCGCCTCGCATCTCCAGCAGCTCTTCCCACGCTCCGACTGCGAGAGCCTAGATCGTCCCAGACAGAGAGCATGTACGACGCGCAAAGGAAGCCGAGCAAGGTGATCAGCGTGATGGTCGAAATGCTCACGAAGAGCGTGACGTGCAACACTGGTCGCAAGGGTGCCGATAGTTGTCGCGTCAAGGTAAGCGCAAGGTTTCCCGCGCTGGCCAGCTGAGTCTGCGCTATGTTGAGCGAATGCAATACAGCCATGTCGGGCATGGGGCCTCCTTGGTCGAGCGAACTAGCAGTGGAGCAACGCTGACCGCGTGAAAAGGGAAAAGTCTCGTCAGACTGTTCATCTTCGAAATGGTGCGGGGGCCTTTCCGCGTCCAGCAGATGCACCGACAGCCGTGGGCTCGACGGAGCAGAGTAAGAGGGCATTCTCGCGCCAAAGGAATCACGAGAGACAGTTCGAAGACGACGCCCGCTGCTAGGTCGATGGTCTAGCCCCGCAAACCAGGTGCGAGAGGGCGGTAAGCTGTCGAATGCTGACTCGTTGCGTCTGCGCCTCGCAGCTGCAGCTGCGGCTGCCACGGCGCCGTCGGCAAGTAAGGAGCCGCTGGGCACGCTCGCAGAAGGTTTAAGTGAGGACTTGACATTCGTGAGGGATCCGCGGCGACTCGGCGGAACGCTTCGTCCCGGCGGAGGCTCTATGTCTAGACTGAAGCTCACCCTTCGGCGAACTTTTGAATCTTCGACCGGTCGCAGATCGGAAGCGCCGTCGACTGCGTCAATGTCGTCCACAAAACTCGCCACACTCGTGGTGCGTGTACGAGTGACGCGCGTCGTTGTAGTCGTTACTGTACTGGAGCTCTCAGCCGTCTGCTGGAACCTGTGATGACGATGACTGCTCGAGTCCGACTTATCTTCCTCTGAGCTTATGTCAGGAGTGGAAGAAAGGTACCTAGAAGGAAATAGGAGTGATCGAGAAGTTTCGTCGTGGCGTGTGGCCTGATCTTCCACAAAAGGCGAGGGAGCTAGTCGCCCAGCTTGCTCGTTCCCTTCGTCGCTGCTGGAACGCGCCAGAGCGGCAGCGGCTGGTCCCATGCGCATCGCCTCTTGGGCAAATGTCAAGCCCAAACCATCCTCGCTCATCACTCTCGAGCGACGATTGCTAGTGCTTCTCGAGAAGCTCTTGTGACTAGTGCGGCCTTTCTGTTGGTACGCCGCGTTAGAGGCAGAGGCGCCGTACCCAACCCGCGACGCTTGGAGGGCTCCCAAGCGTGGAGAAGATGACAGCCGGTCCTCGCCTGAGGAAGTCAGCGAGGGGCTGCGCTCTTGACGACTGGCGCTTTCGTTTGGTTCTACGGGGCTGCTTTGCCGGTTAACGGTGTCACTGAGGCTGGAGCCGTCGCTAGGAGATAGCTCGCCGACATCGGATCGAGAGCCTCCGTGCGCCCTGAGGCTGCCTGCTGCCGTCGCGCGAGGCCTACGCAACGCACTGCGCTGGACTCCAGGGCCGATCGTGGCTGACTTGCGCGTCGCACCTTCGGGGTAGCCTTGGTCTGAAGCGAGGTGATCGGGGTCACCTGCTGTGCGCGCCAGCTT